CAGACAACAGCATTGAGTCGCACTGAGGCTTACACTGTATAGTAGAGCCCTCATTGCTTCATATTGACAGGCGCTGAACCTGAGCCTTTATAATTAAATGCGCGTTGTGTGTGAATGAATGGTGAGTGGCAGCAGCAGCAGCAACCTGGCGGTTACAGGGCTCCAATGACTCTGTTCGCATGGCAAGCGTGCATGGCGCACTCTAAGGGCAGCGCGATGAATGGCATGGAACGCCTTGTCCGGGGTCGTGTTGACGAGTAATGCGGCCTGTATTGAGGCTTTGGTTTTTGCGGTGCAACCGCAAACGGTTGCATGTTGATTCGTTGCCTTTTGTTGTTATTTGCGATTTTTTGTTTCGTTTTCGAATTTTAGCTTTTGTTGGCATTGTTTTTGGTATTTGCTATTGAAAATACAGAAATTCTAGTAGTTTCTCCAATCAAATTGGTAGGATTTTCGTTTTGGCAAAGCTATTCTGCTTATGTCAATGCTGATTGAGTGCACTATATGAATTTATAGATTAGAGGCAATAAGTTGCGAGTAAATAGGGGAAATAGGTGTTTCTACGAAGCTGCGGGGATAAATGGAAAGATTGACTGAGATGTTATTAGGAAATATGTAGGTGTAAATTTGAGTATGTATACATATGTATATGCATATACATAGTTAATTCTAAATGAAATTCAATTCTTTGTAACTTGACCAGTGTTGCTCAGGCTAAGGAGCGGTGCGGAGCAAAAGAACAAGGAGCTAATGAGCATCTGCTCCTTAAAGAATAATTATCAGTTGATACATTTGCTTAAATTGTTTTAACTTTTTCCACAGAAAACAACCGTGTTAAATAAAATAATGTTCGTCCAGCGGTTGAAATTTAACCACTAAAATTAAGGAGACTTTAGCTGAGCTGAGTTGAGTTAAAGTGAAGTGAAGGGAGTTCAAGTGAGTTTAGCTTAGAAATGTTGTATGGAGCTTAGCGGAAATAAGTTGAGTTGAGGGGGCATTAGTTGGGATGAGCTGTGTTGAAATGAGGTGAGGTGAATTGAGTTCAGATGTAATGAGGTGAATTGTGGTGAGGTTAGTTGAGGGGAGAGGAGGTAAGTTGGGGTGATTAAAAGTGAGCTTTGGTGAGTTGAGGTGAAATGCATTGGCATTTGATATAACATAACATAACATAGCAAAACATAGCATAACATACCATAACATAACACAACATAACGTACCATAATATAACATATATCTCTTCAGTTTTGTCTTTTTCTTTGTCTATCTTTATCTCTATCACTTTTATCTTTAGCTTTGTCTGTATTGATATATCCTTCATCTTATCCTTTCCTTTACTTTTATCCTGAACTTTATCTTCATTCTTTTTATCTGCATATTCGACCCCAAGTTTATTTAAATCAGCATTACCGCCTCATGTACATATATGGCATTTGTATTAGTGTCAATTTTGAGTTGATTTTTTTGAAATTTGAGTGCCTTTCAATTGATATATTATTCCTTAAACCTTAGGCGAATAGTTTAGCTGTAAAAGGGGTATAAATAAAACATATTTTATTATTTATATATAAGATATCTTTTCTAAATAATATCCCTGACCATACTGTGTATTGCACTATGACTAGTAGTCAGGGATAAATGCCGAATTGGAGGTGCCATAACCATTACCTTTTCAAATACTTCAGTACTACTTTGGTTATGGCGAAAAATCAAAACGTAATAGATGCCTACGGTTATGGTTATGGATACGGCAAGCTTACGCGGATGACAACAGACTGATGAGTGGTGCACTTTGCAGTATCTTGCTGTCGGTCGCAGAAATACCACCCTAGTGTTGTTTACCCGGCAAAGCAAATTAGAAGGTCTTCGCCTTCCAGTGCTTATAGGCGTAAACCTAAGTGTTTCCGTGGATGTAAAATACCTGAGGGTAACTCTAGATACGAATACATCGAGCAGATGGTAAACCGAGCGCTAAAAAATTGCAGACAGTGTCGGAGAACCCTTAGCAAGACCTGTGGTTTAAGACCGGCTATGGTATTCTGAATAAACATAATTTTTGTTAGACTAATTTTTGCGAACTCTGCTGAAGTATGGTAGCGTATAGTCAGAACTACGGTCTCTGTCTTAAACAGGCTAGAAAGGAACGTGTGTAAAGGCATTATGTGCGCCAGGAGTACAACATTAGAAGCAACTCTTAATATTTTGTTGGATTCGCCGACTCTTTATTTAGCCAAGCATGAGGAGGCAATGATATGTCGACTGTACCCTTTTGGATTGGAGTTTCGGGAACAGATAGTTGCTTACAAGAGCAATATCCTTTGTTTTTGGCACCTAATGACAAACTAATTCCTGTAGTTTCTTTCGGAAGAAAGTATGTAGTGATATAGACACTATCTTGGAAAGCTCAGTGAAAACTTTCTATACCGATGAGTCAACGACTGGAAATGGTACTAGAGCTGGATGGTAACTTCAGACTATTTACTGCTTTGGCTGCAATGGCAAGGGTTTTTCAAACGGAAGTCTTTGCAATACGAAACTGGCAGACTAGATAGTTGGCGAAAAATGGCACGGACATAAAATCAGGATTTACAGTGACCGCCAAGCTGCTCTTTAGAAATAGTCCATAGGAGTGATCTGTGGGCCATGATAGGACTGATTACGGGGCAAAATCCGTGGGACGACATATGGTCACCATTGGTATCATCGACGATCCACTGTGTTCTTCTTGTTGGAGGATAAGGATAGTACAGAACATTTTCACTGCCACTGCCACTGCCCGGCCCTTGCGAGACATAGATGAAGCTTTTGTGCCGGATGTGTTGAGCACTGACGAGATACTATCTCCTTCTCACAACAAACTAGTAAGATTCATAAAGGAGTCTGATAAGTTTGCAGAGGAGCAATAAACTGTCACCTCACCTATGTATATATACTTTTTCTTTATACTTTGATTTTTCCGGTCACCCACAATTCCACTCCATTCTATTCCACAAACAAAAGCAATCAGACGACTTCAGAAATACATAGATCCCTGGAAAGTAGCGCAATCTTTTTATTTTCATATTCGTTTTAAAGGTTGCCTAAAGTTTTTTCTCAATTACACCCTCAATTAAGAGTTAATTTTTGTTTGAATGCCAACATAATTGAGTGGATTGTTCTGGCCGAACAATGAAACAATTGCGAAATACCAAAAGTCCAAAAAAGAGTAACACAAAGCTGTAACAAAATGGATGAAAAAAAAATTTCAAAACAACGAAAATTCTCAACAATCAAAATGGCAACATCAGCAACAAACCTCACACTACAATGCAACACTAGACTCACCACCGGGCCTTCCTCCTTTATGTCCTGCAATCAACGAAAAGTGCCAACACTTTACAAAACCAAAGTGAGCCTTTTAGTAGCAACATTTGCCACTTTTCTACATGCAATGAAAATTCACTTTAGTTGTATGTACAACGCACGCCTTTTGCTGCTGCTGTAGTTGGTATTTTTGTTGTTGCCTTTATTATCTTACATACAACACTTGGAATTTGATTGTTGTTGAGGAACTTGAAGTGGCGAAATTGTTGGCACAGTAAAAAGCTGTCAGCCGCCAAGAGTAGCGGTTTTTCGTTTAAAAAACAACCTCACACACGATAGCATCGCTGCTTACCCTTTGGGGAGCAGACGCTGTCCGGGGTTCGAAGGAAGGTTACACAATTGCTGTTCAAAAAACACTCAGCACTTTGGCCAACAATGCTCCCCCCCATTCAGACTGACCGCTTCAGAGATCTTTTTTTATCAGCGAGTAATGCAATTTTGGCCGGTTGAGAGAAAAAACAATATGGTGTAGCTTCACAACAAAGCACTACACTTCGAGTGTTGAAGTTGTTAAAAAAAAAATATAAATCGAGTAAATTAAAAAAGTGCAAAACTTTCGCTTTGCTGATGTGAAAATGAAAATTAAAAGGAAAAGTTTTGCGTGAAATAGCGAAAAAGCAACAACAGTTAATCGCTAAAAAAGCTGCTGAAAACAATTTGTCCGATTGCTGTGGGAGTTCGTTGCAGCGGTGGTACATTCCGGCAGTGAAACTTTATACGCAGCAATGAGACCTTTTGTTTCACATTTTTCTTCTGGCCATGCCACTTACACTCTTCAGCTGTCACTTTGTTGCCTCTAATGGCAGCCGAACTAAACCACTTGTTAAGCGGAAAAGTGTCAGCACGCGGTCAACTTCATTTGGTTACTTTTTGCATTAGAATGCCCAGTTTTGTTCCCACACCATTGGCATATTGTTGCTATGACTCGAAACAATTTGTATTAAATTGGCAAATTAATTTACCTAGTTAAAATTTTAGTTTTGATAACTACACATTTTTTCGATGCAAGGGCCCGAGCATCATATTCTGCCCCATGAGACTCCAACATAAAACGACTTATGAGGCGCATCAAATAACAAGATACTATGTTGAGTTAGGCGGAAAGTAATGCTCTCAGCTATTTAGACGTACGTAGATTCCAAGGACCAACCAGCGACTAGTCATTACCTTCTTGCAGCCAAGATCCAAACAAGCCGCAACCCCAACAGACAGCAAGCATCTTCTGCAAAGAAATAAGATGCCGCCTGCAGGATTGGCAAATGGCGCTCAAGAGGAGAGCGACACGTATTTTCGGCAATAAAAACGACCGAAAATTTGACCAGAAAGTTAGGCGACTTACGGAAAAACAACGGCGATGACCTAGTGACCGATGTGGAAACACTTTACCCTGTCTAGTGTTAACAGAACTGAAACCGGTGGATATCATGTACCCGTAACACCTTCGAAGACGACATAAACACTGTCCCACCATAAATGGAGCTACAAAAAACAATCTCGCTCCCAGCTGAACTACTAAGAAACGGCAGCGGGGATTTGATAGAGTGCATACATCAAGCCTTAAAGTCTTTCGCTCTTTTTCAAACCACCTCAAATTTCAAATTTCTCTATTTCGTTTCAAAACTTATTCTACTCACACTCACCTCTGCCGCTGCGTCCCACGAACCTTAGATCATTGAATTTCGCCACTTGATTCTTCATAACAGCCGTGCAATTCCGCAATTCAGCGCAGTAGTTCTCGTCATTGCCAGCGCGTACCGTCACCATAGTGCCATCCATAANGTTTTCCAAGTTAAATTTTTCACACAGTGTTTACCAGACTCCTGGTGCTAGTATCTGAAAAAGAGTAGCGGAAATAATTTTTAATTTGGTGGCACTGGAAAAGTTATAAAAGTGGTTAAAAAAATAGTAAACTACTTGCTGGCTTATTTTTCCAATGGATATTTATGACAAAGATTTGCCTTCACAAACGAATTCTACTTCGAGTGTCTTCCCGTTCCCCAAAGGCAATATAAATAAGATTTTTTGGTCTGGAGGTCTCACAAGTAACGGCCAGCTTTTATACACTCCATTTTCAAGCTCTTTTTCAGCTTTCTTTAATCATATATATAAATAGGCAATCATGTTTCCTTTACACCCCTTTTACGGCTAAACTATACTTCTAAGGTATAAACAGTTATATATCATTAGAAAGGTATTTTGATGCTGATGTGCAGGCAATTTTTAAAATTTCAAATCAGTTTAAAATAGAGCGAAAAANTTTTCCAAGTTAATTTTTACACACAGTGTTTACTAGACTCCTGGTGCAAGTATCTGAAAAAGAGTAGCGGAAATAATTTTTAATTTGGTGGCACTGGAAAAGTTATAAAAGGGGTTAAAAAAATAGTAAACTACTAGCTGGCTTATTTTTCCAAAGGATATTTATGACAAAGATTTGCCTTCACAAACGAACTCTACTTCGAGTGTCTTCCCGTTCCCCAAAGGCAATATAAATGAGATTTTTTTGTCTGGAGGTCTCACAAGTAACGGCCAGCTTTTATACACTCCATTTTCAAGCTCTTTTTCAGCTTTCTTTAATATTTTTAAATCCCTCAAACAGGAGTACATTTCCTAGCTAGGCTCTTAATGAATATTTGGGTGGAAGAACATATTCAAGTTTTCTTAGGTTAAGGTTTCACAATGTCTAATATTATTTGATGTTTTTGTCCATGTGTAAATTTTAGAATCGAGTTCCATATGTTTTGAACAGCCTGATGATCTTGGTACCTTGCAGAAGTGGTATTCACGAGTTAATGAGCGCCGGCAGCTCTCTATGATTCCCAAGGAGCTTATGAAATGCATACGAAAGAGAAGAATCTGGCAGTTTGTCTAATTAGTCGGACTTAAAAATAAATTTGTGTCGTAAAATCTGGAAAAAAATGTGGTGGATTTCAAAAAAATGTCGTAGATCTCAGGTTTTGGAACAAACTTTGTGCAAAAATTAAAAATATTCTGCAAGGTTTCACCTAAATTGCAAACATTTTAATTAGAATCTAAAAAAAATTAATTATAGTATAATAAAGTGCAAGATTGAAGTTGCTAAAAATTGCGTTGAGTTTTAGCAATTTTTTTTCCTTAAAGCAGTTCCTTCCATATCAAGGTATTTTTCATAAATCATATATTTTACAATTTAACACAACAAAACCACGTTTCCTGTCGAAAAATTGAATATTGAGGAAACTTACTATTTTACACTTTATTTTATCCTCACATTTTGCCTGTTGTTAGTGTTTAGTGTTGGACAATTTTTGCTCTTAAAATTAACTAAAACTACTCAAAAACGCGAATATGTGGTAGATTTCAGACTTTGTGTGGTAGATGTGGTAGATGCTCAAAAAAGTGGCAGATCTACCACAATGTGGTAGAAGTCCGATCACTGGTTTGTCTATAGTGTACCGTCTCATTAGATGACTAGTTGCGACGTACGTTTAATCAAGTGACTACTTCAAATTAAAAAAATAAGGAAAGGTTAAGCCAGATTGGCTGCTATTGTCAAGAGTTCACTCCGTAGCTAGAAAGGCTTATTGGTATGTAATGTTATGTGGGAGAAAATTTTCAAAGATATAGTTTTGCAAGCATTAACCCATGAAGAACCGTTCCCTGGACGGATCTGGGTTTGTACTACCAGGTTCTCGAATATATGATCCCACAGACATTTGAGGTGTTTTCGTTGAAGTACGAAACATATGCACCTGAAATGCTGTTAAATGCTTCTTTGACCTTCCCCTTTAATTTTGAGATAAGAACCCGGAGAAGGACTGAACTCGGTTACCCAAATGTGCCTCTACATCCGCTATTCACGCAACATCAATCGGGGACTTTATGTACGTATCTGACAGTGCCCACTACACTTGGATCTATAATTAGCTCCTGCCGAATTAGATACTCCAAAGAACCGTAGTTCGCTAATTCAACAGTCAATTCGTCGATAAGAACACCACAGCGACGCGCTACCAACTTGAACCCAAGCTTGTTGTTCTATTTGTAATTGAAGTTTATAGTAGTGCGAGCGGTTTTCAAGGTCGATAGAGCTGCTTGGCTGTTAATGTAGTCGCATTTTTATATCCAGTCTGCTGCTTTAAGTATTGCAAAGGCTTACTATAAAAAGACAGTCGTCATTATACTAAAAGTAGTATACCCTATGAAGTTACTCTCCATATACATTCCTGGAAACCCAACGGAGAGGAAAGTGTCAAGAAGGCCACAGTAGCCCTACATTGTTTTAAGGGGCCATTGGCAAGTTCTAGAGTCTCTCGGCGAAACTAGTTCATTGGCTTTATGAAACTATAATTAAGCCTATTGTATTATATAGGGTAACCAGCTTGAAGGAGTGAAAGAGCTGCCTTGGTTGGGATCAGTGGGGCACTTCGAATCAAACCTACTCTGGCGCTTATTGCTATGTTAAATGTTAAATGTTATGCTCATAGATTTAGCAAGCAGGGCTGGCGATTTGCGAAGCTTCGAGTTCCACCGACTCGAACAGAACACTGCATGCCGCTTGTTGGTGCGAAGGGATCTTTCACCACCCATATTCCAGCGAGAGAGGACTGGGAGGGGTTTAGGATATCGAATCGGGGTCCTGCAAGCATATTTGTGGACGAAGCGAACATGGATGGTAAGGTAGGAAGAAATATCTTTTGCGAAGAACTCTCCATCAAACTGAAATTCAGGCTACCGGATCGCTGCATCGCAGGAGGCTTTGGATTGATTGTTCTCTAGTGTAACACCTTTTAAAGAGCCGAATATCTCTTTCGACATCCAAGCAGCTATTAAGGATTTTGGTTCCTCGATGGTTCGTTCGAAAACGGTGAGGAATTGTTTGACTTCCTTATCGACCGCATCGGATAACTACGCTATTAAGCACATTTAGGTTCCGGGTATTACCGAACTCGCGGGAAACTGCATGGATGATGAGCTAATAAAACAGGGAACAATTTAACAATTGCTCCCGGTTAGAAAAAGTCTGGGAAAGATCGACGTTTAGTTAGCTCAGCGTGCGCTGAACAAAGACCTTGGAATGCAAGATGCCAAAATCTTTCTTACACTTCTCGCTATTGTGGGGAGTTCTATCTTGTCATTGCATTATAAATAAGCATGCAGTAAGGCAGAATATCATCAATGACCCTTACTGCACGAGCTGCTTGAATATCAGTCGCTTGGGGAGCTTCGTGGTGATCACGTAGCATTTTTCATCTAGGAAGCCTTAGCTGTCATCATCCTTTTCATTCCCCCTCTGTTTCTGCCCTTCTCCTCATCCTTCCACATTTTCTGAGACTCCTGTTATCGATTTTTCATTTGGACCCAAAAACCAAGGTTATCGCTCTAAAACCCTGCTAAACAACTGTCTGTATGCCTGAAAGGGCGATCGTCGTGCCACAATTTAAAGAAAACTCTGTTGACTTTACATCCTCGTTACGTCCTCTTGAATCGTCACGTCAAGAAGCGCATTCAGTGCTTTACTAAATACAGTCGAATGAAGAGTTGATTAGACGTAAGTGAGAATAATTTTTTACTCGTTCACAAATAGAAGGACCAGGTGCAGAAGAACCTGCCTATACTTGGTGTGAAGAATTAAGGAAACGCGTCGAAAATGGAATGGCTCTTAAACCTTCTACATGCATACGTACATTCAATAGTGTTTACTTCAATAGTGTTACAACATAATAGCTATATTGACTATTAGCTCAATTTTGTATTTTTAATATGACATTATTGAAGTAAACGAGCGATATGTACCTATAATTGTAAAATATATTTAAGTATTGATATTTAGTTGAAACAAAAATGCCAGAATTCTGAAAACCATCTAGTAAGAGTACCTTTTCATGTTGTGTTTGAGGTAATCACGGTCTTGTTAAATATTCAAAATGAAGCTATTCTTATAACAAAAAGTGCTATACTCCCTCTTCCAGCAAAGTATTGACAATGGAAAAAACAGCGAAATGTATGTATGTAGGTGCAAGCCAGTATATAAATGCCAGAACATTCGCATATTACTCCAATTATTTGTGTAGCCGCTGCCAAAGAACCACAACCATTGTTCGCACATTTTTTTCATTCCCGCTCGCTACTTTTTCGAGACCTTTTCTCGAACAAGGACTATGATGTATGTAAATACACGTATACCATTTAAAATCGTATAAGAATGGATGTATGTATGTGGGAATATGTGTATGTTTGTAGTCTGGTATGCGGTTGCTGAGCCACCAAACTGGCCATGTTAAATGCTTTTATGGATGGAATCACAACATGACGATGGCCTTGTTTAACATGACGATTTTCATGCACGCATCCAACTCCCATTTGTGAGAGTACATTTTCCTCGGGAAGCTGCTGGCTCATATGCCTGGCATTCGCTGGTAGATGAATACAACGTATGGCAGAGTGAATCAGTGAAAATATACGAGAATATAAAAAAAACATGAAAGTGGCACAAAGCGTTGGACACAAATTTTAAACGCGCAGACAACGTTGTATTTACATAGACTGGCTTCGCTCAGAGGCCACGGCGGAAAGGTGAGCGCTGTGCGGATCCAAGCGGCAACCGATAAAATTACTTAAAAATGCCGCAGCTGTTGGTTGACTTCTGGCCAAAAACGTAAGGGTTTTTGGCGGGTGATGGCATGGCATGAAGCAGCAGGCGACGATGTTGGCAGTCCAGCA